CTCTCCCCCCCACTTTCCATCTCCAGCAGAGCTAGCACAGCACCTATCCACAGCAGGTACTTAAAACAGACCTTGTGCAAAAAATTTCTGTCCCTCACGTCTGGTAAGATGGACAACAGTCAATATTTATCATCATCACACTCTGTCACTTCTGTTGTGCGTGGCTCGGTGGTAAGTGCAGTCCCACAACACAAGCGATGTCGGTTAGTTCACTGCTGGTGTGTCCACGTCCCAGGAAAGGCAGGGCACCCCTTGAAGACGAGGATCACGCTGTCCTGCCCACCTGTAGCCACCCGTAGCTCCCAGCACGAAAGAAGCGCTCGATAACTAGTGAATGGTTGAGTGAATGAATGGCTATTCCATTTTCAAACACATATTATAAATTATAAAAACGAAGACAAAAGAAAGTGGAATATTTGCATAGACATGCAAGCATCCAAATTAGTTTAACCTGTTGGACACAATTAAATTGAAGACCTTTTCTAATGCATGAGCTCAAAATCTTTTTATGGCCTAGCAGCTTAAAACGTAAAGTTTTCTATTTTCCAATGGCTATGGCCTTGAGGCAGACCTGACACAGTCATTATAGCAGGGATGCTGGGCCGGGGCAGAGGTGGGCACAGCCTGAGAGCTACAGATGAGGGTGGGGGGGGACCACTGGAAGGTGAAAATGCTCCACAAACAATTCTGAGACACCCAGAGGCGCTGAGCTCTGAAAGCTGAGAGAGGGACGCAGGCATGCTGGCCCGGAACAAAGGGGTCCTGAGGGGTTCCATCAACTGGCCTGGGCGCTGCTGGAGACAGCCCACTGCGTCATTTATACTCATTCTCTACCCAGAGACACCAACACTGAAGCACACGCTCCACAAGGGGTTCAATTCACTAGAGGAATCAGGTTTGGTAAGAAATAAATTGTGTTGCCAGCCTCCCTGCACAGCCGCAAGAGATATGCTAGTTTCTGGGAAAGAAAAAAAAATGTGTGTGCTAACCAAATCTCAGACTTGGGAAGCAATTTTGATGGGTGCCTCACCCACTCCTCCCCATCCTACGCATTCGTCCTTCCACAATAACCCTAACAGATTCATATCACTTTACTGAATACTTCCAGTAACGGGGTGCTCACTATCTCTCCAAGCAGTCCACGTGGGGGTCCACAGCTCTGACTGATCTGCCTCACTATGAGCAGAAGTCCATCCCCCTCTTGGGTCCTAGTGTCGTCAGGGATCACACAGCCCTTCCATGTAAAGGCCCTGCGTGTATCTGAAGTCCCCACTGCCCAGATGTCACACCGCATCCCAGGTATCTGACTGCTCTGTGTTTAAGCACCACACACATCCTATCAGAGACCGAAAGGAGAGGCTTCACCCAGCTCCTTAACCAGAGGCAGGGACGCCCTCCGCGATCTTTTAGTCCTGTCACTCAGCTGTTGAGGAAGTGGCAGAAATCTCCAAACTGTTGTCAAGACAACCAAAGTCCAAATATCAATCTCTTTGGGATTCCATCCACAAGCGGTTTTTAAGTGTGCGCGCACACACACACCCAGGGGAAATAATAAAACATCGTCCCCTCCCGTCCTCCCGCTGCTCTCCCCACCCCCTCTCCCTCCCCTTGCTTTCTGCCACGTGGTGATGTGGGTTAAAACGCACACTGGGAAGCTTTCCACCTTTGGGGTTGGAACAGCTGCTGCCTCAACATTGTTTTTGTTAGTTTTTTTTTGACATACTTTGCTGTTTTTAAGGGTGTTGTTTTTAAGCTACATGTTTCATAATACTAGTAACAACTGCAAAGGAGGAATATTGGCACTTTATTGGCAAGAACAAGACTCATGGGGTCGGCCCAGCTTAGCCCAGTTGAGAAAGTTCACAAAGGCTTGGGATCAACATGAGAAAGTCCACCCATGAAAACAACAAGGGTTGAGAATTGATAACAGGTAGCCAAACTAAACCCCCGTGCTCTCGGGTCCTGGGTTTTTTCCAAGAGCACAAGGCATTCAGAGAATGTTCCACAGACTGTTTGTCAATCCCATCTGGGAGCACTCACCAAAAGAAATAAGACCAGACAAGCCTAACATCAAGGTTCTGAAAGGTACAGGGACAGGTAGAAAAGATGTGCCATCCGGCCCACTCTCGCGTCCACCTTTGCAAATGACCCTCCTGTCAGGAGACTGCAGCCAAGCAGGATAAAAGTCTGCACTGCCCATGCCTAAAACCACCTTCTGCCTTCGATGGGAAGCACGGCCCCAAGAAACCCCCAACAATCAGGCAAACACCGGGCACCAGAAGGCGAGCCCCTCAGCCTCTCCAGTGAGACAGCAAGACTTGAGTTAAGAGGTCCGCCTTCTCTGTCACCTTCTCTAGGGGCCCAAGAGAAAGTGATCCCAACAGAGGGCGTGGCTGTTAGGGTATTGGTCATACTGAGACTTCAGGGAGGTGTGGTGCTGGCTAAAAAACAGGAAGCTGAGGGCTAGCTGTACGCAAGACTTTATCCAGAAAAGACAGAGCTCCTGACACAAAGAACAAAGGAGCTCCGGGCTCCCGTTAAAATGTTGAGAGGACTTTTCGATTTGGCATTGACTGCCTCCTCCAGCCACTGACCCACAGGCTTCTCTCTCAGACCAGGAGAGGAAACCCAAGGCAGTTAAACTGACTTTGGCCTCGCCCAGGTTCTACTTCACCCAGAGAATCACCTTATTTGCATGAGCAGCTGAGAATACAGCCTGTCACACACATCTTGCCCGGGACAGGACCAGCCAAACAGGGGACTTAAGAAATATTACTCAGTGTGGATAGTGAGGTTATTGGCCCTTTCAAAGAAGATATCCTCTGACTTCAGTAAGACTAAAGCCTAGAGGCACTCAAAAACAGGCGGCCACGAATGTGGTGTGATATGATTGATGCTTCAAAGCCTCGGTCTGCCCAGAGACGCCGTCTTGCTCTGCTTTGGCACTGTTCTTCTTCCGGTCCAACCTCCTACCAGCAGAGCCGCTGCAAGGAACTAGCCAACAAGGTGAGGCACCGTGTCCAGGGAGCCACGAAAAGAGTGTGTTTCACTCTGAGAGACAAGAGAAAAGGACGTACAGGATTTCCTCCAGCTTTCTCATCTCCCAGGCTTACTAACTGTCACCCTGGAATCATAGGTTAGCAGGAAACGGTACCTGGTACCTTAGATCATCTGGTATAGTCCTCTGCCTTAAAAAATCAGATGTTATTACTTCCATTTTATAGGTGAGGCGACCGAGGTAGCTGTCCAAAACTGCACAGCTAGTGAGTGGGAAAGAACGAGAACCCGGGTTTGCTACCTCCTGACTCGGGGCTCTTTCCACCTGATCCGTTTCCTCGTGGAAGGATAGAGAGACTCATCTCAAAGCAGGGAAACTGAAAATAACTCATGTGATGGGGCAGGGCCAGTGCCACCTAAGGAGATGACAAAGGAAAGAACACAGAGGGGGAAAAGGCCAAATATGTCCTCCTCCATTTATTCCCAAGGCCAGTCCTGGTGACAGGCCATTCCTTCTGAGCCTTTGAAAGCCTTCCGAGGCCGAAATAACTCCTCACAAGGAAAACGGAGGACTCCTGGAATTTACATCTGGACTATGTTGGAGAGTCTGGCAGATGATGAAACCCGCTCCTGCAACACTGGTAAAGGTCCGCAGAAGAAGACCAGAGCAGCATCCTATCCCGACCCCAGCTGTGGCTGAGCAAGCCATGGAGGCAGGAGCACACACACCCCCTGGGCAGTGTGAGCCGAGGTAACAGGGAAGGCAGGGCCTTTGCCAGGTGCCCCAGAATTCAGATGAACCAGACAACCAGCCAATCTAGTGTAAACGGAGCTCTGGCAAAGGACGGTGATGGGAGACAGTCAAGAACATTGTCCTGCCAAAGGTTCCAGAAGAGCCCGGGGTGGGGGGCAGGGTGTCCTTGGTCCCGTACAATTCAGTCCTAACCTAGAACCATTTCCTCTTTATCTGCTTCTTGTACATCCATCTTGACAGGCCAGTCAGTATTTCTTTGAGACAAACAAGAACTACCCACTTGCTGCCCTTTGTTCAGGAGACGGTTTTCTTAGGGGACCAGCTTTGCCAAGGGCAGTACACTAGGCATCGACGCCAAAGGCTGCTGAAAACCCCGCTTAAAACCAGCTCCTCCAAAAGAGGTGATTCTGGAATTTGATTTGGGCACCCACAAGAAAATGACTCTTCCGTTCCTGAATGCCCCGGGGCGGTTTCCGAGGGGCTGCCCTGCGTCCCCCGGCCCGGGTGTTCTCCCCCGGCCCGGGTGTTCGTTTCTGGCTTCTTTCGCGTTTCTTCGGGCTCAGAACGGCCCGCTTTGGGAGGGAAGTGGTGGGAGGGGGCCTTTCTCATCCCGCCTTCACCCGCGGCACTAAAGTTTTCCAGGCGCAACGCTCTATAGTCCACTTTCTTCACCTTCCAGTCGGTCATCGCCTCGCGTTTTCTCACCCTTGGCTGGGCTTTCTTTAAAGAAAAGTGAATAAACCAATCGCTCCCGGGAGGCAAAAAGGATTCGGCGCCTTGGCTGAGTAACTTGAAGTTTCCGCCGGAAGGAAATTATCAAAGCGAAGGAGAAAGCCCTCCGAGCGGAGGGGCCGGGGCCGGGACGGCCGCCGCTCTTCTCGCCCCCGCGGAGGGTCCCGGCGCCCTGCGCTGCCCTGCCCTGCCCTGCCCTGCCCCGGGCGCGGCGAGGCCCGACCGGACCCCGGGAAACCGGCCGGCCGGCGAGGGGGTGGAAGGAATAGAGAAAGCCCTGGAGCAGGCTTGGAACCAGACCCCGGCAGGGCTGGGACGGGGGGCGGTCCCAGGGGCGCGGGGACGAGCGGGGCGCATGGACCAGGGAGGGCGCGGGAGACCAGGGGGGCGCACGGACCAGAGGAGTGTAGGGGACGCCAGGGGGGACGAGGGGGGGACACGGAGGGGCGCGGGGGACGTGGGAGGCGCACGGACTAGGGGGACGAGGAGGTCCCCGGCATGGCGGCGCAGGACTCACCCCGAGAAGACACACTTTGAGCTCCCGTATCGCCATCATGTGCTCGGGGTCGGGCCGGGCAGGAGCTGAGCATCCTCCGGGGCCGCGCCCGCGCCGAGCCGGCGGCCCCCAGTCTCCGCCTCTCCCTCGCGGCCGCCCGCGGGCGGGACCGCCGCCGCTGCTATTTCTGGGCCCCGCCGCGGTCGGTCACGTGGCCGCCGGCCGGCTCCTCCCGGGCTTCGGGTCTAACCTCGCCGGCCCCCAGCTCCCAGGAACGCCCCGGACGGCGTCAGCCGCCCCGGGACCTGCGGCGTCCTGGCAGAGCGCCTCCTGCCTCAGACCAGCTCAGCAACTGGACCCGACACGACAGAGCCCCCCCTGGCATCTGCCCCTCCCGCCCCGCCCGGCTGAAACGCCCCGTGGGGTGGGCAGAGGATAGGACCGGCCCCGGGGAGACCTGGCCCCACGACTGGCTGCGTCACTGAGGATTCCATTCTCCATCAGCCGGGGTCATTTATATGGGAGCACTTGGAAGTCTGCGTAGACCCATCGTTAAAAGACGCCCTAGGTTCCCGGCAGAAACGAAGCCGCTCGAGAGACAGCAGTGGGGATGAGAGGGAGGGGTTAACATTGCAGCCCGCCTTCCACTGCAGTTCCTAATGCCGGGGCTTCAATTTACTCCCGTGCAGCTCTGCACTCTGATTTTTCTATATCTGGTTGAAAATGGTTATAGAAGCGACGATCTATTCCTCCCTCCAAAACAGGCGCGTCCATGTCTGAGGAAGGAAAGCCGCGTTGAAGAGAGGAAGCAGCGGTGCTCAGTATAGAAAATGCTCCAACTTGCCTGGGCAGACACGCAGCCCTCAGCACTGTAGCTAGAAATGCACAGCTCCCGGCAGAACTTCTGCCTCTCTGCTTAACCAGGAAATAAGGAGAGGCTCTGGCTCCAGACAGTCAGGGAGGCTTGTGGGGACTGCCCTGCTCCCGTCCCCATCCTTGGCCCAGTGTACCTCATCCACTCAGACGACTTCATTTGTAGCTGCTATAGAAATGTCAGTCTTTTGAACATATCGACCTGAATAATGCACTGACATTTCAGGATTTTTTAAACTTCATCCTCTATCCCAAACTCTCAGGCCTCTCCCCTGACTTGCCAGTTTTGATCAATAGTTCCATTCCCCCAGTGAACCACCCACCTTGATTATCTGGCTTTGTTCCTACTGAAGCCATGTTGAAGCTCCCCAGCACCCAAGTAGCCCCATACAATGGGGATTTCCGAATCAGGGCCTCCAGAGAAAAAAAAATCCTAGAACTCTGGAGTTGAAACAGGCCCCAGAACAGACAACTGGCAATTAAATTCCCCATAGCAGCAGGAGCTTCTCCTAGGCAGGTGCAGGCTTGTGGGAGATACTCACTCGCACAAATCTGGACTAAATTGTTCTGAGAGTAGCCATGGAGAAGATACAAGTCCTATTCAACATGGAGATTATTGTGTCAGCATCTGTCCTTGGTTTACTGTCCCAAGGACAGTCTTCTATTTGGGCAGGGAGAAAGAGGCCTGTCCGGAATTACAGAGCCCTGGTCACAATACCTCACTGTTCTCAGGTTTGCTAAGCAGAGAGCAACTGCTACACAGTTGCAGAAACACATGGCGATAAAGCAACTCCTTGGCAAAGCCTTCAGCAGCCTCCCTTAGCTTGGAGGCCAGCCCTGGCGGATGACTTGAATCTCCATGTAGAAGCACTTCCCTTTGGCCTTTCTCCTCACTTGCCAAAAGCTGGTCAAACCAGAGCGGAAGCCTTTTCCACTTCCTCCACCCTTTGGAATGAGTGATAATTCATAAAATTGCAAATAGGTCGCTGAGGGCAGGACCACCCCCAGACAAAAATGAGCTGACAAAATTTCTCTTCCATTCCCTTACTCTTCTTCAAGAGTCTTCTCATTCCACCATCTTCTCCACTAGCCTGGGTGTCTGGGATGCTGGTGTGGTTTCTAGGCTCTCCTAAAATAGCCTTTATCCAGGCCCTGCCCCACTGCGAATGACCCAGTCTGTTTATCCTTCTCCCCACCTCTAACCCCATCAAAAATTGCCTCTTCTGTGTCTCATTCTGATCTGGCCGAGCACTCTGCTTTTCAAAGTGGCAATTCTAGTCCAGCAGCAGGACCACATTCATGGGTTTATATCCCCTCCTCAACAAGGTCAGCCTTGGGGACCTCAAAACTGGCCTCATGAAAACCCGGTGCCTATGATCGACCCAGGGTGATGCATAAGGCCTTCACCCAGGAAGGAGGGCGGTGACTGCCAGGAGACGTAGCTGGGAGGGACAGGTCCCGGGCAGCTCCCAACTTTTAAAAGGTATTATGTCCTCTATGAATGCTCTTATTATACTCTAGGGTTACTGTACTAAGGACCTGTCCTGACTCCTCTGGAATTTTCTGCAAATATGAAGAGGTTCTGATATAACTTAAGCAGGGATAAAAATTTAATAGCACAAAGCTGAGAATTTAGCAAATAAAAAAATAGAACACGCAAGTTTTTCTTATGAGACCCTTGTAAAGTAAAAGGTCATTGTACTAATTCAGACTTGCACTTTTCTGCTATTTTCACGTCTTCAACAGCACCATACAAGATGAAATCCACACGCTTCGGCACTTCTTGCAATGCCATGCCCAAAGCAGCCTCTTCTCCGCCCACGGGGTGAAACCCATTGTCCTTCAAGGACTTGCTCCAGTTTCAGCTCCTGAGTAGAATCTCCCCCTGAACTTGCATGTGCTCTGCTCACAATTCTCTTAGCATTTACTCAACGTAAATAAAGTAATTAGCAACTAAATCCCTTTCATAACAAGTCGGAGTCTAAACAGATACACAAATGTAATTATCTGTCTAAATGACAGGTACCCGTAGATTAAGCAAGGATCGTTTCTGTATCACCAGGGTTTAAAAACAACTAGAAATTTTTAAAAAAGAAAAGTGACCGTAATGAATCTTTTTATCTCACTCTACCTAGGGCTTTTTTCCAGAGGGATCTTTGGCCTTTTATGCTATTCAAACAAGACTACTATTTTGTGGGTCTCTAGGTTTGGGAGACCACAGAGTCGTCTTTACGATATGGCCCCAGCATCCAGGGGTTATCCACACAATAGGTTGGTTGAGCCTGGAATACTCCTCCTCACCCTTGACTTCATCTTGGAAGGTTCTCTCTGGAGATTTCTTTTAAAAGGAAAGAGTAATTCACCAACAAGTATTTAGTGTGAGTCTACCAAGTGACTAGAAAGTACTGAAAAAACCGCCTCATTCTTTTTTTAAAATCTGTCAAAAGCCAATAATAGCCATAAAACCGATCATGGTTTTTGATCCAGCAAGTCATTTTTTGGACAATAACATAGAAACAACCAGAGAAAAATGAACAAATATAGAGCCTGCCTATTTGTGCACAAACATGCAGATAAAGAGACAAAGAAATACGTTAGAGAAACAAAAACTGTCTCTACTGAGATAAAGGACTATGGCTGCACTAATTGTAACTAAAGGGGAAACCACTGAAATCTCTTAACATTTGGGGATGACTTAGGGGTAACATTTGGGGACAACTCTGGTGTCTTTATTGGGGTATATTTAATGGTAGACAGTGGTGCATGTCACTTAGGTATTAAATGAGAGGTGTAGATTTATAGTCAAGTTTATAGGAAAGAAGTTTCTGTGAGAATAACATGACACTAAGCTACATGTTAAACAGTGTAAGGCCTGCGAACTTGTTACAGCTCCCCAGACTGCAGGCTCATCTCATCAGACCACTGGGGAGTCATCTGGTCTGCTCAAGGGGCAGTTAAGGAAAAATAAAAATGTTTATGAATGCTGCTTTTAATAATTATATCTTTTTTATGGAACTTTAGTGTTTGCAATATCAGTTAAAAATCCTCTTAGTATTTCTCATTTTCTGAACCACTCTTTCCTTTCTTTCTTCCTTCTCTCTTTCCTTCCTCTCTTCCTTAAATTTCACAAACTTTCTAACTAGCTTGTGCTGCCTTCTCTTACTTGTAATTCAGACCCTTTAAGCAAATTTTGAGAAGCTGAATCCCAGACACAGTAGATTAAGAGAGGAATTTGAGGGGTTTAGGAAAGCAGAGGTGAATGGACCCCACAACTCACCACAGACTGTGAGAAGGAGAAGGCAGCCTGTAAGGGATTCCAAGTTGCTGGGGCTGCCTGAGAACAGAAGGAGTCTCCAGTGGTGGGGAGGAGATGGTCCCCAGTCACCAGGAATAGGGCAGCGTGGCAAAGGGTGTCATAGGTAAATGGATACTAACCCCTTTGTGAGTGATTGTCCTCTCTTGGCCAGCCCAGTTGTCTTTCTCTTTATGTGGAAAGGACAGTGACATCACTTAGAAGCTCAGGAGTAAGAGCTGGAGAAGTCAATGAGCGTCAGCTCAGGACAGATGGATGAGAGCAGAGGAGGGTGGGGACCTGCCCTCTTCATTTCCTCCATCAGCACCTGAATGGGAGCACTCAGAAATGCTCAAGAACAAGCAGATCATCCTTGCTTAAAACTACAGAGTTCTCTCTTGGGCTCTCACAAAGGGTTGGTGTCGGGCAGTAATTTTTAGATTTTCCGGATACACCTTCCTGAGTCTCAACACTGGGCACATGCCAGCCTTCTCATCTAACTGGCCTCTTCCAGGACACTCCTGCCATCAGCCTGTACTGTCTTTCCAATCCCTGGTTGAGCTGAAAGGATTGAGTTAAAAGAAGATACAAGAGGGGCTAGCCCCGTGGCCGAGTGGTTAAGTTTGCGCGCTCCGCTGCAGGCGGCCCAGTGTTTCGTTGGTTCGAATCCTGGGCGCGGACATGGCACTGCTCATCAAGCCATGCTGAGGCAGCGTCCCACATGCCACAACTAGAAGGACCCACAACGAAGACTATACAACTATGTACGGGGGGCTTTGGGGAGAAAAAGGAAAAAATAAAATCTTTAAAAAAAAAAAAAGAAGATACAAGATATGTATTAACACCTCCCACAAAATGTAAAGGAATGGATTCAGCTGGGAGACCACCTCCCAAAAGCCATAAACAACATGTAACCCAGTCAGACTTGTTCATTTTCATTGCTTACTTGTAAAACTGGCAAATGAAATTACAATGATGCAGACCAAAGTCAACCCAGCCTGGTTTCATTCCTTAGGGCATCAGTAGGTTGTTCTTTCTGGCTAGATGTGTAAGTTTCCTACAATTGCTTAAAGTAGTACTATGAAGTTTAGGATTTTTTTTTTCCAAAGGTTGGCACCTGGGCTAACGACTGTTGCCAATCTTTTTTTTTTTTTCTGC